CTTACAAATTTCTATCAAGTGAAACTACCAGAATCATTCCTTCACCTGTTTTGTTCCACACTAACTCATCTAAAATATTTCCTTCTTGGCCTGAGTTGATGTTGTGAGGAGGATAACCAGGGCCAAGCTGAAAATGTATTGGATTTTTACTCCAAAGATACAAATCCCTCTTATAGATGGGAACTTGCTAACTATGTGGCCATCAACAAGCTATGTAATCACCCTGAGCATTGAGCTCTTCAGTTGTAAACTCAGGTCAAAAAGTGGTTAACCCAATCATAGAATATGTACTATGTATACAAGGCACTGGCCAGGTAGTAGATTACTATAAATACTAACATTACTTAATAAAATATGGGCTCCAATAATAAATATTTCTTGTACAGATTTGCTTGAAAAGAGTTGCACAATTTTGTCTGTTGAAACTGGAGTCTTTTTCATGTTTAGCATTTGATTTTAGACCAAAGATAATAATCTTAATGGTCATATGAGAAACAGGACAAACTGAAAGTTTTACTTAGTAACACAGTCCCTCTCTCTCAATTATTTTCCATCATAACACTGATGTTATGTCAAACTTGACCTGGAAGGATTTTAACTGTTTAAAGTGTCTATTCAGAGGGCCTGAGAACAATACATTAAGAAAAAGGAATTAAGAATTTCCTTATAGTAATGATGTTCAGTTAACACAGGCGATCTAGACGTATGCCTGTTAGCAAGAATTGTCATACCACCTGTTGTTGAGTGTTATTTTCATTAGGACTTTGGGAAAGGATTAGGTTGATGATTATCCAGGTGAATTTTTATATAGAGATACCGTTGACAGTTATTTTCATTAAATAGTTTAATAGAGCACTTTTTAATCCATTGAGCATGCATGAATGAAGGACTGATGTCAGAGCCTTCCCCCAAACTAAAGTATTCCCCACACTGCTTTGGTAGGCTTAGGAGACCTTTCCTCCACGTGTTTACCTGAGATTCAGACTTATTGTGAAGTACAGTGAGGAGGGGTAGGTCAGCTGCAGACTCCAGCCTGGCCTCCTGTTGAATGCAGCAGATAGCTCTGCATCATCATCCTCTCACTTGGTTTTCATTGGAGCTGTATTGTGTCCTCTCCTTTTTATTCTAGAACAGATCTCGTGCGCATGCTTGTATTGTACTGCATGTTTACTTAAGGCAAGGCAGGTAGACGGGCAGAGTATGCTTTTCTATTGCCAGCACAGGTGTGCCCTGAAACAAGATCAGGGAGACCAGAGAACTCGCAAGGTCACTGCCGGAGTTCCAAAATGCAAAGAGCAGATGGGATGCTAGAGCTAGCCGCGTCCAACTATTTCACACCAGTGAGGAAACTAAAAGTCAGAAAGGTCAAATAATATATGAAGATTATTTTAAGGTAAGAGACAGAATCATGAGTTCATATTGGAAAGAAACCTGGCCTGATCCACACCTGGCACTTCCTCTTATCAGCTTTGACTCTTGGTCAAGGTACATTATTTAACTGAATCTCGGTGTTCCTTTTTATGAAGTGTGTGAAGTGGGATGTTTATACCACAAAACAAAAAAAAAAGTCAGTGTGTTTTTGGTCACCTAGTTATTTTAGTAATTATATTGGATTAACTCTACTTAAATGAAATGTAGTTATATTTTATTATAGGCTCTTCCACTGCCTCCCAACAATCACTTTTGGTAGGCACATGTACAGACAGCCCTCATGGAAACATACATGGTCATAATCCTAATGTCATTCTGCTACTGAAGAAGAGTCATCTACACTTTCCATGAGAAGGAACTGAGATCTCAGGTTGAAGTTCTGTCCAGGGACACCCAGAATGAAAGGCAGTCTTGCAGTCACTTGGTCCTTCGCCAACCCAACAATCACTCCATGGAGCTTGTAGAATTGGCACTGACATCCTGGCTTTCTTCATGCAGCTAACGTTCCCTCTTCTGTAATAAGGCAATGCTTTTCTTCCTAGCAGATGATTTCTTAAAGTCAGCCCACCATTCTCCCTCTGCCCCAGGGGAAAAGCAAGCAGGAATTGGGACTTAGGGAAAATCCAAGGTGGACAAACAGCGGTTGCTTACTTCATGTAGAAGAGCATGTGCTGACCCATCTTGAAAGCACCTGGTGGAGCTGGCCTTGCCTTGCAAGTTTTGGACAGCCATTCACTTGCTGCCTACTACCAGTGCTGGATAAAGAAAGCATTTTTGAAGAACTGCAGGGGCATGGCTATTTAATCCCTGCCTAATCTCTGGAGGCCTACAAACATTTTGACTTTTCAAATTTAGATCTTTAAGACCTAAGGTTGCAGAAACATTATGTTTATAGGAGGTCCAAGCTATGGAATTCAAGAAAAAGCAGGGAAATGAAAAGGTTGACATAGGGTTACCTGGTTTGAAAATTAGAGAAGCAAAATCCTGTTTACAAAATTATCATTTTTGTTTAGCAAGATATGTAGACTTAATTTTGCACAGAAAATTGCTTAGGAAAGAAAAAATCTCAGTGGAGCCCTTTAAAAGCAATTGAGTATTTTTAATAAGGCAAATCTTTTGATTCCATTTAGCCAAAAACTCTTAAAATCCAACACAAGTGTTCATTAAATGCTGCTTTACAAATTTTATTGTCTGCTTAATGACCTAAGAATATTAACATTCTTTGGACACTTAATTGTAATCATTATGACATACACTGAATTTTTTAAACAGCCATTAGGTAATTCAGTGTCATTTAGTGCCTCTAAACTGTCAGTCAGCTTCCTGATATTTTCTCTAAAAATTGTAAAATTAATTTATTCAGAAGCCTGCAAATTTCTAAGCAATTGTGTCTTACCGCCAAGTAGTCATTTAAAGCCTAAAACTCAATATATGGTGTGATGAATAAGGACTCTGGGGAGGCTTTGCATTTCATTCATTAAGAATGTTAAAAAGAATGTGGGCTGGACTTAGGACTGTCATGAAATGATGGCAGCATCACTCCTGGAGAGGGGACAAGGAGTCTCTATCCATGAGCCAGAATGGAAAAATGCTATTCCCCCTTTTGAATAGCTCTCTCCCTTAACGGCAACAGACAGAATATGTCAGCAGTTTTGGGAAATCCTGGCTCTATGCTACGTTCTACACCCATGCTGCCTCTGTGGGATATAGCTTCTTTTCCTTCAGATACAGAATGTACTTCTTGGGGGTTTGAGAGGAATCAATTCAATGTAAAAGATGAAGTGTTTAGAAATCAAAATCTGTTTCTTTGAAATCAAAAACCATCTTAACGGTTGTTGCCCTGGCTACTTCTTAAAACCAGTACCAAATACTTGACTTTGGTTTTGGTGATAGTAAATTGTTACTCAAATCTGTTATGGCTGACCTTTACCACTGCCGCAGACTGGTGGTGAATGTTCAATGTCCCTGTACTCAAAAGAAAGTGTGTGAATGAATGTACACAAATCTACCCCATTGCTAGAAAATGAACTGATGCTATCTTGATCATCTAGTTTAAATCTACAGCCCTTTGTGTAGGGCTGTATATTTCACTAAACTCCCTAACAAGCTCACCATCACACTTAGACTTGAACTTACTCATGTTAGCTACTGTTTCCACCACTAGCATATAAAAGCTCTATTTGGGCAGGGGTATTTGTTTAATTCACCATAATATACCTGGCACCAAGCACAATAACTGATGTGTAGAAACATGAATGAATGAATGAGATCGGTATAGGGTGACTATAAAAATGCTCATCTGTTTGCAGCTAAGGAAAACCTGGAAACTATTAAGAGTGCTTCACTAAATTCTGTTGTTCAATCTTACCATGTAAGACTAAGACAATTTGATTATTTTAATATGTTCTATATCAGTCTCATCAATAGTTTTGTCTGTTTTCTTCTCTCCATGAAGCATGAATAGTCAATGCCTCAGATGCTAAACTTTAAATGAAAGAACAGCATTAGCCATAAGCCCACTCTCTAAAGAAGTTACCCACCATTGAATGTTCATAAATGCCCACCGCTTACGCAACTTCATGCAATCAAAAGGCATGATTATAAGTAATGCCCATAATTAAGCAAGGACATTTGAAAAAATCACTTGCTTCTACAGTACTTCAGGGACCTGTCAAATTATCCCATGGCAGATTGGAAAATAAGGGCTATGTTCAAAGTCATGACCCAACTGCCAGTGATGTGTTTCCATATTGTACCATGTGGGAATCACCACTGAGCAAATGCCAGCTTTGTTTATCAGCTGCAACATGAAAAGATGGGCCTGTAGGGATCTTCACAGAGAAGGATCCAGGGCAGATGGACAAGAAGGTCAACACAGCTCCCAGGATACGTTTGCCTTCATCAATCTTCAAGAAGGGATTTCCTCTGTCTTTATACAATCATACAGAGAGTGGACAAGGTTTTGACAGGACCGCAAGGGGATGCTTTTCTCGGTGTTTAAATTTCTCTGGTTGCTGTCTCCTTGAGTTTGGAGAACACTTCATTTTGTAGGATATTCCTAAATAAGACTGTGCACTTGGTGTGTCCAGGAGGAAACAAAGTATGCTTCTATTTCCACATCTAGAGCCAGTGCAAACAGTTATTAAATATTGTTAGAGAAAGTATAAAATGATGCAGCTGGCTCTGGTAAATCATCTTAATGCCTTCCTTTTGCACCAAGGCTTTTCCTTCCTTCTTTCTGACCTGCACTTGACCCTTCTGCTTCATTCAGGGCCTTCTCCAAACAAAGCCTTGTGATTGACCGTTAGTGAATTAGATCAGTTTCAAGCTTTGGTGTCCCTATTTCCAGAGAGAGACAGATGTAACATAGAAAAGGATCCATGAAGAGATGTACTGCATTGAGATGATCTAATTTAGTCTCATGCATGTATACATGCAATAAATTTGTTTCCTTTTGAAATGTACCATGGTTGCCCTTTGATGCTTTGCCATATCCCAAGTCATCACGATGGGAAAATTCGGCTCTGGTTGAGACATTTTAATGTACAGCATGCAAGACAGGTACTCACCAGCACTGACCGTGATGGCTTCAATGAACTGTTCCCTCCAGCTGTTTGTCCCGACCACAAGGGCCAGGTTTGTCTTCTTAATGAGTTTATCCACAGTACTCTGCAAAGGTAAGAAAGAATCAGATAGTAACTGCTCAGTTTCTTAAGGCCCAGGGAGCCCCAAGATCTTGTTGTGATCCAACCCCTAAATTACATATAAAGGGTAACAAATGTTAGGTTCAGAACAATTGCATGGGCATCAAACAGTGTTATGATTATGCAGACAAGCATGGTCATTAGTTGGAGAGACTCTGAAATGAAAACTTCTCAGTACTAAATACAACCCTCCTTTACTGATTAGTAGCCAATTAAGAATAGACTCATTGTTTCGAATAACAGGTGTTGCAAAAGTTCATTCATTCCCTTGAATGTTTGAGACTGTTTGTCTACTGCCCTCCTTTTAACACATTATGTGCAACTAAATTTATGTACACATTGATTACCATGACATATCTGAACGATGGGAAATGGCAGGCTTGTTTTATTTATTTATTTATTTATTATGTTAGTTGATGAAATGCCACCTGGCAGCAAACTTCAAGGTCGCTTGCTGCATGATCATGGTAGAATTTTTCTTTGGCTACCGATTTGGTCAGCCTTATGGCTTTTACAGAATTATACTCTCAGTCAACTCCTGATGCAAAGTAGAAAATACAAGCGTAGAAGAAAACTAAACTAGTTAAATGCTTTTGGTTTAGGGCACACTACACTTTACCTTGCACTACGTTACTCTGACCCTGTTTTGCTGGCTGGGGTTGTACTGAAGACTCCTTGATTTTCATTAGACTGGTCAAGTGCTTAGTTTTGTAGAATTAGCATTTTCTATTGTTGTAAACCGAGTTACCAGAACAACAGGAGCAGTCAAGCATTTGCAAGAAAACTAAGTCAGCAGATGCACTCAAAGCACTACTACAAATCATGGCAACTACAGGGAGAAGGGCCGCTTCCAGGCGATCAAGGCTGCTTCTCCAGAGAAGCAATGACAGACTAATCTACCAAACATCCACACTTACTGTCAGAGCATCCTCCAATTTCCACTCATTGCAAAGAGGCAAAAAAAAACATGTATTAATTTTCTTAGGTCTGATCTTTACATGTTTAATGCAGTGTACCTGAATTGACTATGGTCTGAGAGGCAGCATTTTATCAGCCAACATAGAGTAAGGAAAAGGCAGTGGCGGGGGGGGGATAGAAAAGGTCAAAATCATGTTATATTTACAACTCTGCTGGTTCCAGACAGAGGCACTAGAACTGACTTGAAACATTGTCTTTCTCCAACGGGCTCATGTTGTGTTTGCAGCATTATTCCTGGCTGGATTGCATGTCTTTAGGGTGGTGACATTCAGCTCCTAGCCTTGTGTTTGGAACTGCTGGTGCCCCTGATAAAAGCCATAACAGCACGCCTGTTGCCTATCATAACTTGAAGCACATGACATGCATCTGCCTTTTCTCCCCTACTCAACATCTCTTCAAGCACTCTGAGCATCAGGGTGAGGCCAATTCAGAGTGCTGCACAGAATTTAACAAGAAATGACCTTGATTTTCCTATGCGTAATGGAAATTTGGGGCAGCTCTCTCCAAAGGGACATTATTTGTGCAGAAGCTAAAACAGAGCATCTCACCATGTGAGAGATAAACAATTGAACAGATAGGCTGCTCTACGTTATAACACAAGCTTTTCTGCAAAAAAATATGTTTAAGAACAATTTTAAAAATACACTGAATGTAAATCCACAATAGTCTAAATAATAGTTCATGTTAGTCCTGTGGAACTATGGTACAGAGGGTTTTCTTAGGACATAATTTGCATACATGTCACTCTTTGAGCTATGGGGAACAGGATAATTAATAAAGATGAATTTGAAGTTTAGAAACCTGAACTCAGACATTATTCTTTGCATTTAGCTGGATTCCAGGGATCCTAAATGCCAGCAAAAAAAAAAAAAACCCTGTACTGTACTAACTTTGCAAGAGTTTGTCTAAACGTCACCATCAGTGAGGAGTGCTGGTGAAGCCAAGCCTTTGGTCTCATCACATTAGGCAGCAACTCAGTGCAAAAGCAGAGTGGGAAACTGAGATGTCACCTATGCTTGGCTTCCTAATCAGGTCTGCAAGCTGAGAACAACAATTTTTTTTTAAAGATACTTCATTTGAATGTTAGTGTTACAGAGGGAGATATAGAGACAAACAAGTGGAGATCTTTTCTGTCAATTCACTCCTCTAATGGTTGTAACACAGCTGAACAGGCTGAAGCCAGAAACTTCTGGGTCTCTTCCATGGGTGGCACATGCTCAAAAACTTGGGCTATATTGTATTGTGCTTTCTAGGTCATTACTAGATCAGCAGTCTAGCAGGTTAGATTTAAATTTTTGTCCATATGGAAATGTCAGCAACATGGGTGGCAACTTAACATGTTATGCCACATCTGAGCACCCCAGAGGAACAAGATTTTTAAAATAACCATGTCTTAGAAAAATAAAATTTCTAAATGAATGATAAAAATCTCAAAATCCATGATTGGGGGCAGTTCAGAAATATGTCCCTAAGGCATCCTTTAGATGCTGTAAGTGCATTGGTGAACTTGGAGAGATGAGGGGAAATGACTTCTGTAAGCTGGTCTGGGAGGGTCAGTACACTGAACAAGCATATTTTCATTGAAATGGTTGGGGTCATCTCATAAGAGAACGCATCATTCCCTGGGAGAACCCAGGGAGGGGCAAGCTTGTTCTGGTAATGCCTCGTTACTGTTTACTCTCTGCCCTCTTTTAACAGGAATGAGTACAAGGAGGAATTCATAGATGCTCAGTGGACTGAAGGAGAGAGCTTAATTACATCTTAGCTTTTTAAAAATGTTTTCATCGCAAAGATATTTTACTTTCACTTATCTCCTGTCAGAAAAAGTTTTTAGAAAAATTAACAAATGGACCCAGCACTCCAGATGAAATCGTGAAGTTTCAAAGTTGGGGCCTGATTGTCCCTTTTGGAACCTGCATTGTGGGTTTTCAAGCAGGAGCAAAGTTTGATTTTGAAAGACAAGTAAGGAAAATATTTCTCTGCTCTGGGTTTGTGATGTTGGAAAGGATAAGAGGGGACATATTTTTTTCTTGTCTCACAGTAAAGTGAGGTATGGCTCCTTTTAAGGCTTTTACAGAGGTTAGGACTGGAGGAGTGGGAAGGGATGAGAAATGCGATGGGTGCAGACAGAGCAGCTAATAGTCAACAGGAATTTTTCCATCAAAGTTTTAAGTTCATATATTTAACTTCTAAAAAGCAATGACTTTCATTGCTTAGAGAACTGGGAATGCAATTTTTGTCAGCTCCAATAAAAACTCTGGTTGTAAGCAATGAGCCGTCAGTATGTAACTGCACTAAAATGGGTCTAGAGAGAGACAGATACATATAAATGAGAGTGTGTCAAAGGTATGTCTCCTTGGGCGAGGGAACACAAAGTATGTACTCCCTCCAAAACAAAAGCCTGCTAACCCAGCACTGCAAATAATTTTCTCATGATGTTCACCTTTCCAATAGTTGGTTTCTTTCACATGTAACACCTTTGTGTCTTCCTCACTATCCCCTTAGACAAAGCCTTTCCTCTGGGGCACATCTAACCCTGTGTAGTGACAGATGCCACCTCTTCGGTTCTTTCCCTGATGTGATTTAGTTTACTGGATCTTTCTGTTCTCTGCCAAATCTACAAAATCAGTCTGGCTCTGAAGACCTCTCAATTCATGAGTTAATCTCTAAAATCAAATCTACATCTTTTTCCAGATCACTCATCTAACCCAACCCAGGGTATGCCTGGCACCTTGGCTGGGTAGTATTGGTGGGCATACCTTGAACTCATAGGATTCTTCAATGATCACTTCTAACTTGGTGTGTTCTCCCAAGATAGGGCGCCCCATTTCTGCAATGCGCCTCTCCTCTTCCTCTTTGCTGGTCAGTGGCTGCCTGTCATCATATTCATCTGTGAAAAGAAAGGTGAGACAGTGAGTAATGTGTCCATTTGTATTGAGAACCTCCTACAGCCTGCTACCAAAAGCAGGGAGGCATACCCAAGGTTGTACAAAACGGCCCTTAGTGAAGGTCATGAGTGTGAGGGAAGAATTGTTCAGAGGCTTGTTGTACTGAGCAGTATAGCACAGTAAGCGTTGATGGTAACGTCTCAGTGTGAGCTCATGTGAAAGTGCAGATGAGGAAAGTGATGCATGGGGGCGGGGCAAGTCACTGAGAAAGAGTTTGCACATTTTCAGGGCTCAGCTTACTGTTGGTACATGTTGCTGAAGGGTATGCTTGAGGGAAGCTGTAGCTAGGGTGACCCTGCAGAATGAAGAATTGTGGTCTCTCCTTCCTCCATTTTCGAGAGGGAACAGAAAATGCCCAAGGGACAAAGAGGTGGTGAAAAGGACATTCTGATCTTAGCCTTTCACTTGGGAAGAGCCCCTGTTGTAAGTTAAGCATAGAACAACAACATCACTGGCAGTTTTAGTGTTTCCTTGCTCTGGTACAATATCAAACTGTGTCAGGAAAACCCTGACCTTACTGAGCTGCAAGTAAACAGGGAGTGTGAAGGTGAAGCCTTAGGGGTATTACCATTCATTCCATATGTGAGCATGATTATTTCCAGAAGCACCGCATAGTGTACACACCAGGAGAAGCCAGCAGAGTGCTAAGATGTTAATGGATTCAAGAATCCCCTAATGAGGGGGAAGCTCACAGTTGGCTGTCTCTGCATGTTTGTTAGGATGAATTCCAGACTGGGAAGGCCAGGCGCATGAGAGGGGCACATACTAGTCTTTTAATTAGCTTCCCCCCTGAGGCCCAGGATGCTGGTACCAGACAGACAACTTCCTGTCCATGTCAAGCAGAATAAATACAGCCCCAGCTTGGCTGTGATGTCCTCACCTCTGGGACTCTGGGCAGAGCACCCAGGTCAGGTGTTTGTTAGCTGAGAAGACATCCAAATGAGAGGGTCTTCTCACCCAGGCTTCCTGCCTTCTTTACTTAGGAATTAGTGCTTCACACCTCCCATTCCTGGAGAGCCATGGCTTCTGCTTAGCTAGGGTCCCTGTTGAGTGGGGCCTCGTTTGCTGTACTAGTGATCACAGAAAATAATTCCTAAGACAGTTGGCCACTGCATTGAATGTGACTCAATGTAATTTAGGTAGGAAAAAATGGAGACAGTGTGTCGCAAAGGAAGTGTGGTCTTTGCTTTCCACTTCACAAAATAGGAATTGGAACATGGTACTAAAATATGGATAGTGTGGTAAATGAAATCAAATAAGGGTAAGCTAATTTTTAAAAGGATTATTTATTTGAAAGGCAGAGTTAACACAGAGAGAGGAGGAAAAGACAGAAATTCGCTCCATCTGCTGGATGTCTCCCCTAGTGGCTGCAACAGCCAGGTTTCACTCCTGAAGGTAGGAGTCGGGAGCTTTAGCCTGGTCTTCCTTGTGCATGGGAGAGGTCCAAGGAAGGCAAAGTGCCTTCCCCTGATTGCTCTCCCAGGCCATTGAGGGAGCTGGGATGGAATTTGATCTGGTGTCCATATGTGATGTGGCACATAAAGCCACATTACCATGCCAGCCTGTGAAAGATTCTTTTTTATTTAATCCTACAATCTTTTATTTAAAAATTTTATTCTGGGCCCGGTGTGATAGCATAATGGTTAAGATCCTCACCTTGAACACACTGGGATCCCATATGGTTGCCAGTTCTAATCCCGGCAGCTCCACTTCCCTTCCAGCTCCCTGCTTGTGGCCTGGGAAAGCAGTCGAGGACAGCCCAAAGCCTTGGGACCCTGCACCTGCATGGGAGACCTGGAAAGAAGTGGGCTCCTGGCTTTGGATTTCCCCATTGTGGCCACTTGGGGAGTGAATCATCAGATGGAAGATCTTCCTCTCTGTGTCTCCTCTTCTCTCTTTATCTGCCTTTCCAATAAAATAAATAAATCTTAAAAAAATTATTCTATTTAATCTACAACTACTTGTTACCTTTTAAGATAGAGAAAACAGTTCTCAGGTGCAGATAATGGACAGAATCTAGCTAGAACCCAATAACATTTGTTTCCATGATCAACTTTTGTTTTATTTTCCAATTATGGCAAGCGATCATAGTTTTTCATGTGTTAGTGACTTAAAGTTGTGTCCTAAGAACCAACTAAGTGAAATTAAAATGTGAGGCAATGTCAAAATATAGTAAAGAAGCAATAACATAGTTGGCAGGTAATCAAAGCAAAATTGCAAAAAAGAGATATGAAAATGACAAAAATGTAAGAGTCTTATCAGATATCATACTAACCTAAAGGAATGTAGAACATCTTAGCTGCAAACCACACTCTTTCCCTATCTGCTCGTCAAAGCTTTGCTATTTCCATCAAATTAAACCCTCGTTATTTTTCAAGACTCACATTTTATTACATGAACTATTCCCTAGTTGAAGATCAGAGACTCAACACCTAAAACTCTGGATACAGGAAGAAAAGGAGTATGTGGAAATTGTGATCTCACCCCACTTCCTGTAGTCCTTGATCCTATGTACCCTAATCACCCTAATCACCTATGTAAAAATATTCAAAAAACAATTAAACAAGTAGAAAAATTAATGTTATAACCTTACATTGATTCCGTAATATTCCTTATGTATACTGAGCAGGAACTCTCATAAATCTTTTTTAAAAATCTAAGTTACTTTTATATACAAACACAGAAAATGAAATTTGCTGGAATAGAACAATGTTACCATCTTTGAATTGTCCTCACATCCAGCAGAACCTATCAGATTATATAAAATGCAGTAGGTGATCAGTGAGAATTTGCTGTGTGACCTTGTAGCTCCCGGTTTGTAAAGACTCCTTATTGCACTGTCCATTTAAAGGTTACTTAGTCACTGGATACATGTCATTACAGCCTCTTCTAGCCCTGAGCCTCCAACTCTCAATAGCTCAATAGCTCATATACATGATGGCAAGATGGTATACAGATGGACAACATTTAGTGCAGCATGGTGAGGGTTGAGGCACCAGAGTGGAGGAGTAACTGGGTCTGCCCCAGGGAATCGGGGGAAAACTAGGACATTGGTTTGGGACATGAGCAGGAGAGAGTGATGGCAATACCTAGAAGGGTGGGAGTATGGACATGAAGGAGCATAGTGTGGGAGGAATCATTTTGTTCTTAAATCTGTATATCTGTAATACAAGGGATGTGTTCACTATGTATAAACAAAAACAAAAAATGACTAGTAAGGTGAGGGAATGCGTTGTAAGTAGAGAGAAGTCAGAGCTTACAGACACAGCCAACTTGGGAGGGACAAGGTTATTTACACTTAAGATTTGTAATGAATGTTTAAGAGATAATTATATTTGCAGGCAATTGAGACATGGGAGCTGGCTAACTAGTAAGTTAGTATGTATGTTCTAGATTGTTTACATTGGCCAAAAATGGGGTATGATCTCTATTTTTAAAAGTATTCCTGTTAGAAACATTTATTGAATAGGGAAATGGTTTAATCACTTTTGTTCACTCTCATTTGTTGTGTTGTTTCCTTTGCTTTTGAACACTTGATCAAAAGCAGATCATCGCATTATGGTCCAAATCATTTTCATTTTCCTTGTTATGCAGAGTAATAGGCTGTGGTTTCGGTTGTGGTTCTGAGGCAGAGAAAATTAATTCTACGTGCTTTTAACACATATTCCTTTAAAAAATACCATATTTTATTGAGAAGTTGGGAATATGTTACATAATTGTAACCACGCAAAGCAATTTAAGAACCAAATGCATAATATTTAATAAGCACTGTTAAAAGTCAGCATTGACTGGACACAACTTAGTGCTGGCATAAAATTACCAGTAGAGGTTCTTTCTCCTAATGGGTTTTGCAAGCAATTACCAATGAAGAGTACCAGTGGGTACCTGGGATTTGGGGAAAGCAGAAGTATGTGGAGCTGCTTAGAAGCATTGTGGTTCTTGTTCATTTCTAATGCTTTCTGGTTCCAATTGCATTTTAAGCAATGTGGGGATTGCTACTAGAGAAACCCACAAAACTCATACAGTCTATCTCAATGTAGACATTGTTCCCAGGCAGCTACTGGGGGTACTCAATTATATAAATAAAACATGTTCATCCTAATGAAAAGGGAAAATGGCCAGTGATAGAAGAATTTGCTTAGCATAATTTTGATACTTTATTCAGAGCTATGCTGATAGTCCCAAAGCAGAGATCTCTTGAAAGTTTCTAGTGCTTTTCTGTCTGTTCTGGTAAGAGATTAAGGAGTCTGGTACTTCTTTAATATTTATTCCATCTTATTATTGGAAAGGCAGATCTAAAAAGAGGATATACAGAGAGAAAGATCTTCATTTGCTGGTTCACTCCTCAAGTGGCTGTAATGGCCAGAACCAAGCTGATCTGAAGCCAGGAGCCTTGAGCCTGTTCTGGATCTCCCACATAGGTACATGTCCCAAGGCTTTTGGCCAATCTCTGTTGCTTTTGTAGGCCATAAGCAGGGAGCCAGATGGGAAATGGATCAGCAGGGATACAAATTGGTGCCCATATGTGCTCCCATGGGATGCAAGGTGAGGATTTGGCCACTAGGCCATTGTGCCAGGTCCAAGTCTGGTACTTTTATTTCCATGACAATATTAAAGAACATGTCCATAATGGGGGCTGGACGTTGTGATTAATGGATGCAGGCATGGGATTGAGGATTAGGAAAGTGCCCCTGAGTTGGGGAGTAGTGTTTCTACTGCTATTGCCCAGACAAGGGTGGTGACTGAGGAGCAAATATTCCTGTCCTCATGCAAGACTTAGGGAAAGGAGATGATAATCCAGGCTCTGAATCCATAGTAAATCTCAGAGACTTGTATAATCCTCTGTTGACACCATCAATTTTTTGTATTTCCCCTATGGAGAAACCCTACCGATGTAAAAACATCTGTGCACTACTTGGTTAACATCATGTCGTCCGGAAGCAAGAATAGGAACCCCTGGGAAAAAATACAGTTAAGCTTTTAAAGATTGTTATGATGATATGTGGGACGAGAGACTCATGAATAGGAGTTATTACCAACAAATATGGAATCTACTGAAACTTGAGAGCAGTTATTGGATCGGTGGTTCCTGTAAGTCTATGCTGCTCACCCTCCTGCCCATCCACCCCCAGGGTCCCCTGTTCCACCTTGATGTGGTTGCATTTTGTTACTAATCCTTTGGACTCTCAGATGCCAGAAAAGCCACTGCATCCCATAATAAGACTTTAAATAGGACAAAGGCCAACATATGAATTTAATGTCAAAAGACGTAACACTTGAAGACTCTAGTTTCCAAGGACTGTGATAAAATGAGTACCTGCAATGGTGATTACAGTAGAGGGAATAGGATGATCTCTAGCATGAACTTTCCTGAAGACAGGTTGGCCTAGCAAAAGGACAGGTAGAAAATCAGCAGAGTAGATTGCACTATTTTCTGTCACATCTTTGTGGAATTAGTAAGCTAAACAGCACACCAGATGCACACATTGCAAGCAATGTTAGTAGGAGACTAAATGGTCACAAATCACACTTTGGGTCAAAGATAGTTTTTACTGCAGGAAATTGACACAGATCGCTCCTCACAGATTGGTCCAATAATCCATGGGTCAGATTATGGAGACTCATCCATATTCCTGCAGGTGCCTTAGTTAGAGTACCCAGATCCCTAAAGTTACTGCTTCCAGAAGAATCATGAAACAGAAAGATTTTAGCATAATGTCAGTGTCCTGATTTTAAAGCATATTAATATTAGTGGTATAGTTGGAGTAGGCTGTTTTTCTGCATGTAAAATGTGAATAACTACCCACTCTGTCATGTTTGTCTAAAAGTCTAGTAACATAATACTTGGGACCATGTTTACTCATTCTATTTCCCGAGAAGTCTGAACAGGAGAATGTTATATGCATTTGCAAATTTTGCAAGGATAAGTCACAGCATAGACAATAACTGTTGGAACTAACAAGGTACAGGGTTTTCATTGAATTACTGGTTCAGAGGCCTTCCAGATGCATCTGCTGTTTGCTTTGATCAAGAGGGAATCAGAACTGTCCTGGTAATCTTGGCACTCAGTGCCAACTCCATTGCTTGTTTGCCATCTAAACATGTGAAAAGCATTTTTTTTCCTCAGACTCATTTTTTTCTCAGTTGCAAAATGAAATATAGTTGAATTGGGCTGTGTACATCAAACTCAGGGATTGGAGTGATAAATTTTCAACTGTCAGTATTTTCACTGTTGGGTTTTCTTAAAAAAGGCATGTAAATGACTTATGATGTGTATAATAATTAGAAGAATAATATTAAGGACAATATTGATTGCTCTAGGGTTATAGCTATATAACTTAGAATATTTGAGGATCAAATATACCCTTTCTTCTTTATTTTTAAAAATTAAGAATTCTGGTTCAGTATAAGTATTTATATATGTTAGCTTATACCATTCCTCTTAGGTTTCAAGTATAATGGTATTTAGAAGATATAGGCCAACTTTGGATTGAAAAGGTGTTCATTCTGAAATTTTAAGATGAATGAGGGAAAGCTGGGGCTGGGAAATATTTCATTAGTGGGGTTAGGATAGGCAGTACACTCTTGGAAACAAAGACAGACGATCTGGCTCCACATCTTGAATAATTGATTTGGGACAGACCAGTGAAGTTCTTGAAATGTTCGTTCCCTCTTCTATCAGCGAAAACAACAAAATCCTATCCTATGATGTTAGTGAGCAACTATTACAATGAATAGTAAGTGTTTCACTGACTTTATTTAACCATATGGCAGGCAGTTCAAAGTGAGAAGCGATCATAACTCCAAATAAGATTTTTTTTTTCAGTGAAGCAAAGTTTTGTAAATTCCCAAAGCCCCTCCAAGCTTTGAATGTCCACTACTAATTAAAATCTCCAAAATACTGGTATTAGGCTGGGTGGCAAATGACTTTTCAATTTTCATGTACTTTGCTTCAAATCTAGATGCAGACTTGTAACTGTGCATAAGTCCACAAAAAAAACTGCAAGCAAACCTAAGGGTTGAATTAATTCTTCTCTATCGCCCCTACCACTCAGAAGTCTTCACTTCAAAGCCTTAAATGAGCTTCAAGCTGCTTTTCTCTTAGTAGGCTTCCATGTCAGAACTTCATTCTGGAGTGTCAGAACAACATGGATCTGGACATTAGCTGTTAATAAAGAGGGGTCCTGGAAGGTGGCCCTTTTCTAGGAAAGCAAGAATGGCCAGGCCACTGCAGACATTGCCATAATATTCTGGAACATCTTTTTGTTTTTATGCATCCATTTCAAGTTTTGGAAAAAGGTCATAAAAGAAAAATTGTTTTTTAGATTGAAATTTCAGCCAATAGGAATAATGTATTGAAGAAATGATAGAAACCTTCAGATGAAGTGATTCTATCATTTTGAATGTAATATGTGGCCAAGGTAGGAAATACTACACATTATTGAATGGAAATTATAGAACTCAGAATGAAATTTTAGGAAAGAAAAAAATTAGGATCCCATTACCTGAGGTATAGAAAGGGAAAGTGATTCAAGTGATATAGCAAGAAGGCCTTAAAAAAATCGTAATATAACTGGTAAAGAAAATCAGAAAATATCTGTATACGTCAGTGCATTTAACAGGATATTCTTGAGCCTGGGATATTTTCAGTTGAGATCTCATTGCCAGACACCATAGAAGTGACGTTACTGCTGGATAGGATGCTATTTCTATGGTGGCTGACTTAAAAAATATCACAATGACGTCATAAAGGCTGGTTTGCCAAATCTCTACCTTCTTCAAATCTTTGAACGATAACTAATTTATTTTGGGGTGACATAATCAAAATATTTCTGAGATGACTTGAATGTGTTCAAGTGACGGTGAGAAAAAGTTTAAAAATGCAAATTCTTGCAATTGAATTAAAAAATAATCATCAGTGGTATAGATATCAGAAAATATTACTGGGAGATCTTTAGAAAAATCAAGTTTAAGAAATCCTGTATGACGGCTTCTTTTGTTTCAAACAGCTATCCTTTTTATTTTTGAAAGATTTATTTTTATTTGAAAAGCACATTTTACAGACAGAAAAGGAGAGAGAGAGGTCTTCAATCTACTGTTTCACTCACCAAATGGCCACAACGGACAGAGGTGAGCTAATATGAAGTTCAAGGGGCCAGGAGTTTCTTCTGGCCGCTTCCCACATGGGTGCAGGGTCTTAAGGACTTGGGCCAGCCTTTGCTGCTTTCCCAGGTCACAGACAGATGGATCAGAAGTGGAGGGCCTGGCGCGGTGGCGCAAGTGGTTAAGGTCCTCACCTTGCACGCCCTGGGATCCCATATGGGCGCCTGTTCTATCCCGGAAGCCCCGCTTCCCTTCCAGCTCCCTGCTTATGGCCCGGGAAAGCAGTGGAGGACGGCCCAAAGCTTTGGGACCCTGCACCCGCGTGGGAGACCCCGAAGAGGCTCCTGGCTTCGGACCGGCATGGCACCGGCCGTTGCGCTCACTTAGAGAATGAATCATCAGATGGAAGATCTTCCTCTCTGTCTCTCTTCTCTGTATATCCACCTTTCCAATAAAAAAAATAATAAAAATAAATCTTAAAAAAAAAAGAAGTGGAGCAGTTGGGACACAAATTGCTGCCCAGATAGGATGCTGGCACCGCCAGTAGCTTGCTTTACCACCCTGCCAACCCCTAACCTTTTCAACACCTTACAGTCTGAGTCATTTTGCTGTTAAAGACTATGTCCAGGAGATATCAACAGTGAAGAGCAACAGTTCATGTGAAGTTTCTCCCATATTTAAAATATTCCATTTTGGACAGAATTATGTTGGAACTCCTTGCTACTGAGTTTCCACAATACAACCTATTCCCTGCCGTGGTATTTTTATTAGTAGTAATTTTAGAAAGATTTCCTTTTTCATATTTTTTTTCTGAATTTAAAATTTTAATATCTGTACAATGTATTAGAAAATTCTTTCACATTTACTCATGATACTGGGCTGTGATATTTAAGATACAAATGTAGGCCAGTAGAAATACCCTCAGCCTGTAGTTACAAATTAGGGCTACTTTATGATATTTGTCCCTGAATCCACACAGATAATTCTGAAAGGGTAAGAAGAGAGTTAAGGTCAACAAGGGGCGCTGCAAGGAATTAGCAAAACCCTACTTCTGTTTTCTTATATACAAATGGAGGTTAAGTAATGTGGTCAACATGGGGCCAGGGCTGCGGCTCAGCAAGTTAAGCCACCATCTGTAGTATTCCACATTAGAGCCGGGTTGAATCCAAGCTGCTCCATTTCTGATCCAGCTCCCTGCTAACGTGCCTGGGAGAACAGCAGTGCTTGCATTCCTGCACCCATGTGGAAAACCCAGGCGGATTTCCTGACTCTTGGCTTCTGCACTGGCACAGTCCTGTCTGGTTACCGCAGCCGTGTGAGGGAGTTAACTAGCAGTTGGAAGAGCTCTCTACTTCTTCCTCTAACAATTTCAAATGAATAAATTGTGAAGAAAAGTGCTGTCAACACAAGGTGATGCTAATCTGGATTTAAGACTTTAAGACATCCTGAGATTCTACAAGTTGTTTCCAGTATGACTCGTGACCATATTTACAGGAACACATAAAGCCCCAAAGTGCAGCTCTGCTGGGCGTGATGGAATCAGGTAGGGATTGTTCTGCTCTCTCCATACTTGATGTTATCTATTATGAGGAACCAGTTCTTGTGCTATAGACCAGTCTTCTATGTCAATTCCTGTGCTTATTCGAGGCCAATGTTATTACTGCTATTCTTTGTGTTACCTACCAGCATCCACTGCACATCATTGGTGCTACGTGAATATTTGAGAATGTAAAATGTAAACAATTAGTCTCTGTAGGAATTTTCCATCAAATAAAGACAACACACATGTTACTGTATAAAACGTTAGGTGTGTAAACACCAACAAGAATACACCCTGTGCCACAGATACGTTAATGTGGGTTACATGGAATGTGAGTTGGTTTTTTTAAGAGCATCGGGAAATAATTTTTTTGGATTATCTTACCACACAGGTATTTTCCTTTATTAAAAACAAACAAAAAGGAGAAATGATTCTTTTTAAATTTACCAATATACAATAAGACAATAAAATAAAAATAGATAGTATTAGACTTTCAAAATCCATACCTGTAATTGTGAAGCCACCTAAAAAGGAAAAGAAAAAGAAATGAATGTTAAAAATGAAACACTCTAAATGACCTAATACTAAAATCCCACTGTCTGGTAACCCACCCAGGATAAAAAGACCTTGTGGAATTGCATCTTAACATTCTTAATTTAAGATGTTGACCATCTAGTCATGACTGAATCACAAATTATTTTACATTCTGAAATTTTGTGCACAAACGTAATTCTTGTGCATACCTAGGAAATCAATGATTTTTAAAAGGTTTATAACCTATAAAATATAAACCATTTGACCTTCATAAAAGAGGTCAGTGGCTCTCCATAACAGTATTTCTAGCAAATCGATAGAGATTAACAACAGAGAGATACCGTGTCACCTGACAGAAGTGGAAAATAACCTAGAAAAATGGAAAGAAAATGCAAGAAATGAAATGCTTACCAAGCTCATTCAACAACAGGGCTGTGAAGAAACAAAGACAAAGACAAACACAGAGTAAGAGACCAGATGAGTAATGAAAAGAGGAATATCAGCAGAAAGAAGTCCAGGCAGATCTACCTAGAGTGGTGGGGACCCACTGTTACAAATTGGCGCACCCCCAAATAATTTGACAAATGAACAATTCCCAAAGAAGTGTCTACACACGGGTGTGATTAAAGAAACAACATACGGGGTGAAACAATTTTGCCTAGTGGGACATTTCTATTTAATAACTTTTAAAAACGGACATAGGACCAGGAAAAAGCTCTCTCTGGACATTTTAGTGGATGATATTTTGCCCACCAAGAGTTGCTCATGGTTTTAAGATTGTTAAAGTCAGAGTCTCAGTAATTAATGCTGATTGATGTGTCCTTTGCTGTGACTTCTGCACATTAGCAGACAGTGAACACTTTTAGAGGACGTAACACTCATAGGAGGTTGACAAGGCAGGGACAGTGTGGAGAGCATACTGTAAGTCAGGGTGTGCGCTGTCAACCCAGACGGTCCTGTAGCACTTCACTTCAGCAAAAGCTACCTGGATAATTCCATCAAGTAGATTACTTCAAGGTTCAGTGCCGGTGGGGATATTAAAACTACTGTTTAGACACCGTTTTCCCCCTTTTGAGGGTAGCATTAGAGGATTCATTCTTATACAAGTCAGTACTTTTATTTATAGTGAGAAGAATCCACCTGGTGAGGAGAACAAACTGGATAATGCTTTCAAGAAGTTTTAATTTGGTTTTACATGAGAGCATATCTTACTAAAATGCTACTGAAAGATATGCCTCCAGGACATATTTCCCTGAGATGAAAGTGCTTTCTAGGAACACATTTACAAGTAAGTAATAGGCTGGATATGCTGTAAGCAACTCTTAAGTTCTTACCAAAGGACCATATCCTTCAGACTAAAGAAAACTGGTAGGACAACGGTCTCATATACTCGAATGTGGTGCATTTTAAATGCTGTATTTGTCATGTCAAGTGAACATGAGAATATTGATAATGCTATTCTTTAAATATACCTGTTGTTATTTTATAAACCTGGGTTCTTTAAAGAAGTGTAACTATTGAATTCTGATGTTTTTCATTAATTGCCTTTGGACCTATCCAATACTACATACATGCACTAAGCCTTTTTTTCTTCCAATTTATGTTGAGATATGATTGAAATGCTATTGAGTAGTCATTCTCACGTTTTAGAGAAGACAATAATTTTAGCCACTGTGTGGAGTGGACCAGAGCAGTGAAAACTAAATGTTTTTTACTATGATCATTCAGAATTATAAACATTATATCCAGTGTTGATTAAATCTGGTTGCAATCAAGGTTAGTTGGCATGTCCCAAAGAAAATGGACATTACTTGGTGCATTTGTGAATTTGGGAAGGGGAATGAAACTGCCAAAGCTTCAAAGGCAATGAAGTATAGTATTTGGAAGCCAAGGAAGAAGAGAGAGTTAAGTGTGAGAGTAAGGAGACACGGAGAGAGAAGAGTACAATTTCTCGCTGGTATGTCTTTGTATACTCTCACACCTTTCATTCCTCTTCTTATCCATTTTGGTTCCTCAAGCACAAGGGAGAAACTGCACTCTTTCTCATATTCCTCACGGTCAAATATTCTAATGGTAATGATCTTCCTGTGGGAACACAAGACAAAGGCAAAACAAATGGTTGGAGTCGCACACTCATGCTCTAGGTGTTCACCAAGCCAGATGTTACTGTGATGTTATGGAGAATGGAGAGCACACAGGCCACCTCAAATACGTAAAAGGGCATCTGGGAGACTTTTAGCTGGTCTCCCTTAAGCTTGCCTTGCCAACTGATCATTGTAATGTTTTTTTTTTTCCCCTTGTTTAGTAGTCAGATGGTACCATGAATTGTAAAGGTCAATCAAAACATTGGCTCCATTTTAAAATTGCATAGCATTTGCACCAGTGTCCTCAGACATACAAACCTGACTTTGCTGAAAATCACCCAAGAGGTCTGAGAGTTAGAGTGATGACAACTGGCTGCTATGGCTGAAGGCCAGGCCTACTGTGGCCCCAGGGGAGAGCCCTGCCCTGTTACATAGACGGAGGCCTGTGTGCATGGTTAAGTCATGTTCTGAAGAGTGCAGGCATCCAGGGGTGGCACAGGCCAGCAGAAACTGTCCAGGTCAGTCCTGGAGCAGCTCCCCCACCTTTCTTCTCACTCATCTCCACCAGGCGGGGCTCTCCAATCTCAAGGAAGAAGGTCTTGTTTTTCTCATATTCCTCATCATCAATTACCTTGACTGATATTGTTTTGCTGAAACAGAGAAGAATAGAAATTGACGAACCGGAGGAAGAGGAAGGAGAGGGATGTAGAATAGAGCAAAGCAACATGAATGCATTGCACTTCCTGCAACGTACTGGGAGTTTCTCCTTCAGGAATGGGAATACAGTAAGTCTGAAAGATGGGAGAGGTCACAGAGTACATAGCTCTCCTGCTCAGAGTTATGCAATTACTGTGGACTAAGTACAGCACGTAATCCTCACAGGTTCATCACCATTAGGAGAAGGAAAAGCAAAGAAACACATTAATAAGATATGTTACTTGGTTAAAGACTTAATAATCAGCTGGTCTCAACTGTACCCTAGAATTTGCTCTTGTAGAACGAAGGGATCAACAGAGTTTACCTAAGTGATAAGGTAAACTTATGTCTCATTTTCCCCCTCCCGGTGCTTTATGTATTTTCCAAACATCATGATTCTGCTGCTAAGTTTTATTGAAATAATAAGTGTGTCTATTTCAGAAGAAACAACAAGCCTCTATCTAAACCTATCTTACCCCAGAACAAAGCTTTTATTGCATTTTGCCAGATTTTCCTCCTAGACAAGACAGCAAATTATTCATGATTTATTTACTTCTCTCAAGATGGGAGTGCTGGCCCCGAAGCAGCTATTCTCAGAGTGGGGTGTCAAGTGGAGAGAATCATTGTTACAGCTCTTTTCTTCTCTCCCTAAAGTTGAGTTTGAACTTCCACTGCGTGTGCCAGTCATACTACTTTAAACCTCAGTGATAAAGACATTTCAACAAGAATCATTCCTATAATCCAAGTGCTTGCCTTACAGTCATAGGGCTGTGAATGACTGATACAGCAAATGCAAATATTATGCAAATCTCAACTTCCCATAAGTAGCCTAGGTAACTCTGAAAATAAATCAAGGCTAGTTTTAGTTAATAAGGACTCAAGAAACTCATGTATGGGTATTACTTTAGAGCCACCTACATAATGATTTGTCTTTGAAACTATTTTCAAACATTATCCAATGACATTTTAAATTAAAGTACCTGAAAGTGTTTTTTTATAAAGTTATGAGGACATGCCATGTTTTAGCTTTTTTAAAGGATTTTCTAGCTCTTCTGCAAAGAAATTGTTTTATAAATTTTTATTGATCAAAGTCACCCAGTTTTGCTTAGACTGATACTAGGCAAGGAGGATTAGTCTTCCATTCTTATGCAAATATGACATCCATGAAAGTGGCTTTTTAATTCTCTAAATTTCCTAGCCTCTCTTGTCATGTAACTAAGTCTTGTTTTCCTGGCCTAGCATTATAGAAATGAGATTAACCATTCTGTTCCTTTGAAGCCTAGGATACAGCCTCTGTTCCCCGGTTAAAGAACGTTCCTGCATGATGCAGCATCACAATTTCTCCTGCGGAGTAGGAGTCCATGAATGTGCTCTTTCAAGTGAGTTCTTTCATCAATCACTTTTCTCGAGTAAGAAACTACAAAAAGTATGACCGTTGTAATTCCATGTAATAGTCATCAGTCCCTAGGTAACTTCTAGAACTATGTTCTGTATGTCACCTACATACCTATTTGTAAAGGTATCAACCTGCCCTGATTAACACAGATGTTTAGTTACTACTTTATATCCAAAGTATTAGAAAAAGCACGACAGGAGATAAGGTATTATGACGTGTACTTTCTACTATAGAACTGAGTTTGATGTTTAAATTGGATGAAACCTACCCTAAAAAAACCTGGAAAATCATTTTGTTATAAATACTAAAGGGCATGCTTTTTGATATTGTACAGGTTTGTAACCTTAAATGGCAGTTGTACACATTAGCATCAGGAGACCAAGAATGAAAAGATGTGATGGACATTGAAAGTGCCTTATTATGATCCCGTAAACTTCTTGACCAACACACTTGGTTTGAAGGTAGAATACATGAAACCTGCCATCCCCTACTTGGGCGACTCAGGTAATGATCTTGATCATCTGACTTTGTTTCCCCAGCTTAGCATGCATCACACAATTAAGATTGTAGAAATATAGACAGACAATGGAGTATGATTTGATGCAGTCTTTCTAATGAAGCTCATATTGTGTAGGAAAGGGACCAGTTTCATTCCCACAGGGCAACATGAGATCTTAATCACAAAAACAGAATCCCTGATAAATACCATAGAATATAATTCTCTATTGCTATAACAGCTTTATTTTTTTATATTCCAGAGAGCAGATGAATGTGAACTATTTAGCTGTTATAAAATGTAAATGTCTATGTAGTCCTACATATTTATATATTTGTGGTACCACTATTCATTAGGCTCATAACCCTTAGAAAATATTGTAATATTTGATAACTGTGATGCTAGGGAATCAAAAAAGAAGAAAAAGATTAGGTACCTGGCAAAGACATCTAAAGTAGATAGAGTTTGCATAATGGCATATCATTTTAGATTCATTAGTGAGAGAATCAATAATGCCCCTGACAAGCAGAGTCATTAAATTATATATTGATTTTAGCTCATCTTCCACACTAAGCTATTAATAGAAAATTTGATTATTAAAGAAATTTTAGTCAGTCAAAAGTGGCAGGATGAAGTCAGTCATGATTAATTAGCCCTTTATATCAAGAGAGGCAAATTCGGAAATCTTTTGTACTGCTCACCGTTTGCTTCAAACAACTATTTTTCCTCTACTCGCCCTATCAAAATTGGGGTTAGATAAAGTAATCCTTAAAAGAACACATCCTTGGGATGCCCCCATCTCCCTTCAGAGCCTAACATGTGCAAGAACTGCCTCCTCTCTAAACTGTGGGGACAGTATAGGAGATGAGATGGCCAACCTTGGTGACAAATCTAATTTATCTGTAGAAGCATCCCTTGGTTCCACACTGAGTAGTGTAGCAGAAATACAATCCTAAGAACCTGAGGGAAGGCCACCCCCCCGGGGTGCCCCAATGGACACCCTTGACCTTGGCGTCATCACAAGGATGCCGAGTAACCGGGGACACAAATTAACATTGGCTGCTCTGTCCAGAGTGGAAAGCACCTGGTTAGCTCTTACTTAAAAGGTTAACAAAACAAAGGAGGAATCATTGGTTAGATGTAACCCTTAAATCAAAACCAATTATTCCATGGATAAGAAAGAAAAAACTTGTATCATGTGGCTTTCATTTATTATTAGAAAGAAAGGTGAACTGACTAGATTTTTTAAAAAATCTGTTTGAAACTGAATTGTGTACTTTAAAATGTTTGCTAAGTAACAAAGCAGTTAAAAATCTACGTGAACATTAAATATTTCTCAGCATGACTAGCAACTTCAGGAAAGTGCATTTCATTTCTAGAAGGAGAAAAATGGCTAAGAAAGATCAATTTGTTTATTGGAAAAGTACAGATCATTCCTTTTGATTAGAGTAGTATCTTTTATGTGATGGGAACCAAACCAATACCCATCTGTACTTTCCAGTCTCTTCCTGTCTTCCCTGAGGAGTCCTAAAGGACCTCAAACCTTCAAAGAGACTCATAAGGAGCCCTCACATTGGGAGGTAGCTCAGGAAGAGGATAGAAATAAGTGCCTTTGGTAGTGAGGGCTGACAGAGAAAACCTCTTCAAAATATATTTGAGTTTTTCATTGTTGAGCTCAAGTGGTATCACAAGCCTGTTGGTCCTGTGCCGCCTTTTCTCTAAGATGGCCCTTGGATTTGGAAGACGAAGAGCTGGAGGGTGAGAGTTTGCTTTTGAAAGTTGTCACAGAAAAGATTTCAGTGAAGATTTTCCACAGTTAGACGCTGCAATAATTTTTCCTTTCCAAGAATAAATCATTTCTCTCTCTTTAGGCAAAGTCAGAAGTCCACAGAAAGATTGTCACTTTGCATCCCTTAATCCTCAGATTTTCCTAACTTTCCTAGAAGTCATTTCTACCAAATACAGTCTCAGAGCAAACAATGACTTTCAGAGAAGTCATTTCCAGTTACAAAGTGAGTCTCCTGCGACCAGCTCCAAGGCCAGTATCTCTCAATAATGTGATCCACAGCCAACAACCAAGTCCCTTATTCATTCAACTCTGCAGCATTTTTATGACCACATTAAAGAATCTGGCTCATTATTCTAAGCAGATCCAGAGAATTATTGGTTTATATTTACATCCACTGTGTCTGTATGAACAATGATAGAATTTCAGTTCTATTTTGAGAAGGTCTGTAGCATATATTACATTCTCTAGCTAGCTTAAAAAGTTCCATCTTGGAAGTGATACAGGTGTCACGGAAAGGTGCATTGAGGATGGAAGGGCTTAACTCTGAGTAACCAGCCAACAGAGACTGTGTCACCTGGGGGGCAGGTATTTGTCCGCATGAGGGAATCTTGGGCCACGTTCCAGAAACACAGATCCGGATCTGCACTTTAACAAAACCCCCAGATGATTCTGTTGCAGGTTAAACTCTGAAAGGTATTGTTATAAAGAGCAACATGGGTTCTTTCACTGGGGGGGAGGGTGTAATATATTAAGTGTCATGTGCTTGTGCTTCAGACCTGGCTGTATGTTATCACCTTGTGAGGATTTGAAAGTTACCAATGCCTGGGCCCACTGCAGAATAAACTTGCTGGTTGTGGAACTCAGGTACAGTGTGGATATAAATTGCAAAAGCTTTCACTCTGGGTAGGAAACTGGCTAATGAAAGGTAAGAATGTACAGCCTAATTTTTAAAGAATTTACTCAAAAATGAAATGAAATCATTGAGACATTTGTGCACCTTTGCTTAGTTATTGTGAGTTGAGCTAAAATAACATATGTAAACAACTTAGATGTGATCAATCAATGAGTGGATAAAGAAAATGTGGCACATATACACATACCTAATATTACTCACCAACAAAAACAATGCTTTTGCAATAAAATGGATGCAACTGGAAACTGATGTGCTTGGTGAGATAAGCCAGTCACACAGACACATACACACACACATGTTACATACATACACACACGTTACATACATACTTCAGATCAGGAAAAACATTCTATATAATCTAGATGTACATAACCGCCATTTTGAGATTTGACAATTCCTCACAGCCTTTGTTTGATACTCTTAAGCAATAGTGTGGGAGTATCACGATGGTCCTAACTCTTTATTGTGAAATATATTAAGTTTGCTCAACATATCTAAATAATTTAAAATGTTAAAGAATGAATAGGGAGCCAAAGTTAAGCTTAACATCTAAGGCACTCACATCCCATATTAGAGTGCCTGGGTTCCTGGGTTTCATTCCTGGCTTCAGCTGCCTGCTAATACAGAGCATGGATGGGAGACAGTGATGATGGCTCAAGTAGGTGGGTTTCTGCCACCTACATAGAAGACTTGGATTGTGATCCTGGCTCTTTTCCTTTGGAAAAGAAGTAAATGGTATTCCTCTCACTCCTCTTTCATCTAATTCTCCTCTCTTCTCCTCATCTCTTTATTCGTTCTCATCTTTCTCTTTTCTCCTTGTTGCTTCTTTACTGTCTTCACTCTCCTTTTCCCTCTGTCATCCCTCTGCCTGCTATTTCTATCATCTTTCTCTTTTCTGACTTTTTCATCTTTTATTCTCCCTTCTCTCCCTTTTTCGGTGATTTACTTGATCTCTAATCTCCCTCCCATTTCCTCTTTCTCTTTCCTTCATTGAGGGAGAAATAGAAAAAGCAGAAAGAGTTACAAAAAGATAGAAATCAAGTGTTAGAATTTTTTTCTAAGTCAACTTCTGGTGACAGGGTATGCCTTAGTTTCATATTCCTGCAGGTATCTTGTGATACAGTGTTTGCAGTGGGCTTGTGAAAATCTCTTTCATACTTCTCAAATGCAGGGGAAGGAGCATTACTGGGCCCAGAAACAGCCTCTTTATGTACAATGTTGGAAATGGAAGTTTCA